CCAGTACGCCTTCTGAAAAGTCCCTCAGATGCATTAGGTACAAAACATACCTTATTTGCCTTTGTGGCTGTTTGCCACCTACAAAGGAAACAAGATGTTTGATTTCAGGGTGCATAAGAGTTTGACTAACAACTGGATTTTATATTTTCAAAAACTGTGAAGGGAAGAAATTAACTGTTGTTTGTTTCTTCACCCCAGCAGTTCTAGGGAGACTGTAGGTGCAGCCTTCAAGGCAGAGTGTCATTTGAGCAGCTATTATATATATATTATATCTCATGCAGACTTCATCATTGTAATATCAGATGAGCCTTTTGAGTTCTCGCTTTCTAATTTTTTAAGCATTTTGCCCGCTGAAGAGATCTGGAGAACTCAAAAGCTTGCTACCACCGAAGTGGCCTAAAATATGGTTTGTTCTGTCATGATTTACTTTTCTTATGAGCAATAAACTTCCATTTTTAAAAAAATAAAATAGTAATGTAAAGTGGAAAAAGGTATGTTCATCTAGCACTAGTGACTGAAAAACTTTATAAAGATCTCATACTTACTAGTTTATTCATTTCTTCTCAGTTTGCCTATAGTTACAGGGACAATATGATTTTTTTATTACTATAATGGACAGACTTTTACCGCTAGTCCTCAGGATACAACCATTCATTCAGCTTTACAATGGTGCTGAACAAATGGTACTTACCACAGGTCCTCATAGTTCCAGCTGTTGCGAAGAGCCATAGTCATATGATCATGATTTTCAAGAATCCCTGCTATCTACTCAGAAAGTCAATAAGGAAGTTGGCAAAAGTCAGAAGTTGCAGTCATATGAGATTCTTACTTAAAGATCTATGTGGTCCTCTCTCTGAATGACAGCAACGGGAGCAACCAGAACTGCCAGTACTAAATGACCTGCTCACGTGACATTAGTCTTTGACTGCTTAGTGATAGCAGTTCTAGTCCCCACTATGCAATATATGCAGACTGAATTGTTTTGGGTGTTTTTAATTACACAATAGTGGTTTGATTTTAGATATTTTTATTAGAATATGCATTTTGGTAAAGTTTCTCTTGGTTTTGCTCTTGAATTTTCCTTTGTGAAGCAAAGTTATAAACATACCATTTTAATCCTTCTGATTTTTTTTTTCCAGATTGGCCCGTTTTGTTTTTTAAGAAAATATGGTTACTATACCCAAAGTGGGTTTCTACTACAGGTGATCATAAAGATTGGGCAATGGTTGTTTTCAATGTATTTAATGTGTAATGTAAAGTATTAGCACTATTTAATAAACATTATTTGAATATACAAATTAGCACTCTTTAAATTTCATCTAGTACGTCTATATAATTTATATTTCTGAAAACTGATTATTAATCTAGACTACTTTATGGTATTCATATTTGATTGCTTAGCAGATTCAAAAGAATCTGTTTTTGTTGCCCAGGATGGAGAAATGTGAAATGTGTAGATAATTGGTTTCTGCCTGACAAAAGTAATTCCCAGAACCAATAGCGCTTTCAAAGTAATACTGTCTTCTTGCTTGCTTATCCACTAAGCTTGTATATTTCTTTTTAAAGAATTGCAAAATTACAAAGCATCCAGTGGTTTTTTCCTTGTAAAAGATAACTTAATATTTACTTGCTTCTGTTATTTTCAATAGCAGAGAAAAAATAGAAAATCAGTTCAACTCCTATTAACAAAATGTCAGTTAAGACATTGCATTTTTAATATAAGAAAGACTGATTTTGCAAATCTTTTTTTAATATATAAGGATTAAATAAGGAAATGTACAAGAAAATATATAAAAGATTCTTGGTCAAACAAAGGGGGCTTACAAAACATAAAAAGTGCCAACAAAATAAATCTTTGGTAGAGACATTTAGTTAAAAACAAACATTGTATATTAATAGAAAGAAGATATACAGTAATAACAGGATACTTAATAAATACTACATTTACTTTTCTCACTATAACATGAAATATTTATCTTTTGCTTTTGCATCAGAACATTGTTTTGCTAAGAAAATTAATATTTTTTTCATTTGCTTAGTGTATTTGGAAAGTTTGAATCGTCAGAAATAAAAGTTAAAATGGACAGTGCCAATACAAACATGGATATTTTGAGACATGACTGATATTATTTAACCAGTAAGTTGTACGATGTGTAGATCGAACAGCAGTTTTAGAATTTCTTCATACATTCTTTGCATTTTGCATTGTTGCCAAAAGTACCAGAATCTCATGAATCATTATTATGTTTTCACACATCAAATCCTCATATTTAACTATAGTCACAAAAGATGTGACTACGGTGTGTTTAGACAAGAATAATAATAAAAATATTAACCTTTTTAATTATTTCCAACACAACAGAATGCTGAAAAATATATAAAAAGACTTCAGATTCTGTCCATCAGCAGAGTAACTCTCTGAAAATTGAACAGAACAGAACTGTATTTTCTATGACAGTGATGGCGAATCTTTTACAGACTGAGTGCCCAAACTGCAACCCAAAACCCACTTATGCATCGTCGGGTGCCAGGTGGGTGTGGCCCATTGGCTGGATGTGGCCCATTGGGTGGGCATGGCTGCAGTGGTAACGGCAGACTGGGTGGGACTAAAAAGTTCAATCAATCAATTCCAACTTTGCAAGATCTTCCCCCCCCCGAGAAGTTGAAATTGACTGATTGATTCAACCTTTTTTTTTGTACATGGCGGCGGAGGCCTAAAGCAAAAAGGTTTTATAAAACCCAGCTGGAGGCCTAGGACTGGGGAGATGGCGTGCGTGCCCACAGAGAGGGCTCTGAGTGCCGCCTCTGGCACCCGTGCCATAGGTTCGCCACCACTGTTCTATGACAAAAGAAAAATTGACTTCCAAAATGAACGGAATCCTCTCCAGAGAGGAAAAAAATGGGACAAATCTACCAGTGCATTTGGAAGGAAGACAGAGATGGACTCAGTAGGTTGCCAATAGTTCCATTCTATTCTCCCTCCACCATGCTGTCTTCTTCCTTCTCATTCTTCCTTCTCAGACCTAAAGACATGTTTCAAAGATTTCTCTCTTTTGTTCTTTTTTAAATACAGACATAATAACTTCTGCAGTCACTATTCAATTCTCAGGATTACATCTTTACTTCAAATGCAAAATTGTTAATATCTAATTCAGCAGGATTTACTTTGAAATAAAGTGTTCTGCACTAGCATTGCTGCTGTCTTAAAATATAGACCTTGGGCCCCTGGGATAGTGTTTTAAGATCCTCACAATTCTGGTAATATTGTAGATGAAGGCTCTAAACTTGGGAAAAGAATTTGGCACTAGAGCCCTAATAAACTTGGCCCTTTTTGAGGCGACCAGAATTCCAGAAATCCTCACAAGGGGAGTTTCTTAAAACATTCCCAGTCTCTCCCACACCCCACTCCACTAATTTAAACCCAATGTTAAGTTAACAATAACTCAAGGAAGGAAATTTTTGTGGCTCAGTTCATATATTGCAACCAAACTGCGTTGAAAGAAGCATCATTATTTCCTTTGCCCACAATGCTAAACCATAAGTTATGTGTTAGAAAATACACAATGATTGTTTATCCCATATCCATGTTAAAGGTCTACAGCTAGTGAAGAACACTAGCTGCTAAGTGCCATAGGAGTTCCAAAAAAACTTCCATTATGCCTTGCTATTACTCCTACCTCTATTATATCTTGCTATTACTACAATAAGTTTTGCCCCATCTTGAAATTATGTAAAATCATTCATGGGAGTTGGAAAAGAGCAAATAGTATAATCAGCGCAAGCTGTTTATTTCCTTCACAGTAATCCTATGAGAGCCTTCACAACTTGATGAGCAACCCAACATTAGGGACTCTATGTCTCATTTGGCATTCAACCATAATCTTACAGGGAGTAGCTTCACCTCATTACCTGCTCAGCCAAATACATAAAGTCAGAACCTAGGCTCAATGTCAGTCTAATCCCAGCTTCTGAAATGTCCTATCATTTTTGAAGGGCAGAGTTAATTTTCATTCTTTTTAGAAATTATTAGATATGGCAATTTTGCACTACCTACTAACAATCAGGATGGAGAAGTCTTCACAAATTTTGTAACATCCTTATGTCAATCAGAGGTTTTTGGATTTTATTTTTTTTCTAGGTGTATATTGTCAGGTGTGAATAGCTTTTTTTCCTTTAATAATTGGATGCAGAATAATGTATTTGTTCATTTCTGTATATTCTGTATATTTGGTCTATGACTGTATTTTAATAAACTAAACCAAACTCATTTGGCTCAGCTGGAATGCAGTAACAATAGTACTGGTGAGGTAGAACAGTGTTACTTGTATAAAAAAGATGCCCCCTCTATTAATTTAGTTCTAGGCTAAGGCTTACCATGCCTGTTATTTCCCATCTCCTTGAAGCATATTTTTTAAATAAAGTGATTATAGGGGGTTTAAGAAGGTTATGACTGAGAATATATGCTCTAAAATGTATTAGGAGTGATTTTTTTTAATTAGCTGAAATTTAATTCATTTATTTACATGCTACCCATTAATTCAAATGTACAATTCAACCTTCATGCCTTTACAAATATGCATTTGTATCCTTAGCCTTCATAAATCAAATGGGCCTATGAACAAATAAAATCTTGGCATGAAAGATGAAAGAAATATGCCAGGGAGCAGAATATTAATTATCAATGGGCTTTAGATAATTTTGTAAGTGGCAAAGTGCTTTATCAATAATTTTGCTCAAATTTGCCCTCTAGAAGCATGAGTTCACCTCTGCTTTTCCACTATATAGTTTTCAGGATGTATATATAGAAGGTTGAGGCCCTTGACAGGGGCAATGATATCATAGTTGCAGTGACAGAAATGGAAAATGATAAAATAAAAACCCACCTAGCTAGAAACATGCATGCCACAGAGTTTTGTCCCTCCTCCCCCATTTAAAGGTTTTGCTTTGTTGTTTAACTGAAAATACATAATATTGGTAGCTAATTTTAGAGTTCGAATAGTGGTGTTTAACTCAAGGAGACCTGTGATTTTTAACTATGAAGTCTTTAAAAAAAACAGAAACTTGGGAGTGGCTGTATCCAATTATGAGAATTAAGTGAATGAATGACTGCTAGTTTGGGATAGTATATGCAGAAAGTTAGGTGCAGTGGAATCCCTCATGGAAAGAAATCCATAAGTGATGCATGTGATCCTATATTTATTTCAGAGACAATTAAATAGTGCATCTGGTTTATAAAATGCCACTAACAACAAATAAAACAGTTGTTTTTCTATTCAGCTGTGCTTTTGAAGTTATTTAGTTATTTTTATCTGTGCAAACGTTCTGGAAAGTCTAATTGAAGCCAAATTTAAGAGTTTTTTCCTCACATTATAAATCTAGTTGAAATAATACTTAAATCCATATTTTTAAGGTAGGCATCTTTGAATATTTCAGAAATAACTAAATTCCACTGTTGGTTATATCTGAGCAAGCATAGTGGGCATAATCCATTCTCAACTATTCAGATGCATTCCTTATGCATTTGTTTTGCTTAAATTTTTATCTACCTCAGGTTTTGACAAATACTGGAGGAAAAGTAGTAAATGAAATGCACACATCCTAGCACGAAGATTGCACTGACCTGGGCAATGTGGGCAAAGGAGAAGAGAATCTTAGCAGTGCTCAACTAATTTTGATATTAATGTATCTTAAATGAAAAAAGTTTTTTTAAATGAGTAGCCTTGGCTCCAGAACTCGAGATATTTTCTTTTACAATACCCAATTTATGGTTGTGTACAATACCCAATTTATAGTAGGCAACATTATCACATCTCATGAAATGGATACAATGAGATGCTCACAGTTGTAGTTGTAGATGTGGCTGCTCAATTTATGTGGTTTCTCTCCTTAAGAAAGGAAGTGGGAAAGAAATAAATTATTCACTATGGTGTTACAGGAAGTGGAAAGGGATTCATTCTACATAGGAGAAGATGCAACACTGGAGAATTTGTTTGACTTAGATCTTCAATTAACCTTTGTCAATTCAGCAGCCAAATCAACGGGAACTGAAATTCCCAGAGCTCCTAGCCAGCTGTTTTAAAACTTACAGTGTCACTCAGTCACAAACTACTGATCCTGACAATTTTCACAGGTATGTCACAATAAAGGGCAAGGTCCATTGGCAACTTTCAGTAGGCCCAGTCAAAGTCCCTTGGACTCAAAGCCCTTTATAGCCAATTAGGCCATTGGAATTCTTTTTAATTATTGAAAACAATGTTTTTCCTCAGAAAAGTTTACATAAAGTACGTTTGAGTTTAAAAAGACCAAGATGGACCAAATAAATAAATAAATAGATAAACACTGTATGGAAGCAAACAACTACCACAACTGATATCAAGGGGAACTATCAAATTGCAATCAGGATGATTATCCTGACTGACTGATTATGGAGATGATGTTTCTGACCAGCATTCTGGGATGTTGCTGCTTGTATTGGGAGAAGGGACCTCAGAGTCTTCAAGGAGAGTCAGTTCTTCCATGCGTTCCAAATGTGGATTCTGCTGGAACAGACCCAGTATCCTTTCTCGTGGATTCACACCTGTTTGCTGCAGCCCTTGATCCCCAAGGACCTTGACGAGGAAGTTGATGTATCTCATGGCTAAGCGAAGAGTCTCATTCTTGCTCAACTTTTTGTCAGGAGGATGGGTGGGAATCAGCTTTCTCAGCTTGGCAAAGGCACTGTTGACATTTTGTTGCCTCCACCTCTCCCTGCTGTTGGTGAAGATTTTTCTGGTCATCCTCAAGACTGGAAGAGCTAGGAAGAGAATGACAGGAGTTGGGAGAACATTAGGAAAGACATAATAAAAGGACAAAACGGTTCATTCAGCTGCAACCATGAGGTAGAAGGTGTGACTTCAAGTGTTGAGTTATGGTACTTGATGTTGAAAATGAAAGCTTCTTAATAACAGAGCCCCCCAGCAAGAGATACCCTACCTGATACAAATGTAGTATTCCCCTTGCATATGTATTCAGAGGAATCAGATTCTAAGCAAAGAGTACTATTAGAATTGTAGCATCTATGCTCAAACATAGACATATTGTAGATATTGTAGATCTATTAGTTTCCTTATGCCAAAAGCATGGTGTTCCCTTTATTGAGACCAACCAACATGCACAAAAGGATGTATAAGCATTCTCCAGATGTATTATTTTATTTTCATGGAAGAATTTTGTACAATAATAAAAGCAGTACAAATTTTGAGAAAAAGAGTGAAAAAAAATAGTGAATAAGTAAAGAAAGGAACAAGGAAGAAAAAGAAAAAATATAAAGAAGTGGCTTTCAATCTTCACAGTAGTATAAATAAATTTATCGTCAGTCCTTCCTCTTTAACTTACATTTTGATTCCCTTCTTCCCATATTTTAGCCTTTCTAATAATCAAATCCATAAATCACTAATTCATTTTTTCTGTTTTCAGCAAAACGTCCATAAAGAATTTCTCCAGAATGCTTCATAAGGCAAAATTCAGAAAAATGCAAGAAAGTACAAAATTAAGCCAAATGTTTAAACCATGATAAAACTGAAGGTCGGCTTGTGAATGGATATTGTGCATTACATATAAGAGGTTTCTAGTGTTCCTCACCAAATGGTTGTTCAGGGGTAACTACATGTGCCTAAGATTCTTAAAACGTACAAATCGTCCTCTTTTAGCAGCACAGTTGGGACTAGCAGCTTATTTTTTTAAGCAAAGCAGTTGTTAAATGAAGCCATTGCTACGCTTATGATTTTACTTCATCTCTCCTCTGCTTTACAATTTTACTTCATCTTTCCTTCTCCTTTGTCATAAATGCAAGAATTGGTCACAAAATTACGTTTTCATCACTTCATAACTGTATAACATATGGTTCCTAAAGAGGCAGTTGCTAAACAACTTGTAGTATAAATTAGGATGTGTTACTGACCTTAAACAATAACAAATGGGTACGCCATGTATTCAGGTTTGTCACTTGTTTTTCCTTCACTTCTACTAGCTAAGTATATTTGCTTAATAGCAGCTGGCACTGAACTGCTGCTGAAATGGAATATATTTAAGATGTACCAATCTTCGTGAAGTAGTAAATTACTAAAAAATTACCTGAATTATGAGAAACACTTCAGGCTATCGCATGTTCTGTGTTTTCTTGTCAGAAAAACATTGACAGTTTTGCATTGCTTCAGAATCACTCTGGTACAAAAAACCAAAGCAAAACAAAACAAAAACAGTTCATACAGCTGTTTGTTCAGATCTAGACTGTTTGGTGTAGTGGTTAAGCCTAGAAACCAGGAGACCGTGGTTTCTAATCCTTCCTTAAGCATGAAAGCTGGTTGGGTGATTTAGGGCAAATCAGTCTCTTTTGGTCCAAGTTACTATACAAGGCTGTTGCTGAAGAGGAAAACAGAAGGCAGAAGTATTAGGCTTGTTTGCCATCTTCACTTTCATTTTAAATAGATAGATTAAGATAGATAGGTAGGTAGGTAGGTAGGTAGATCAAACATTTAGTAATAATAATGCCAACGACAACTCTAAATCCTGAGCAAGTTTATTTTCCATAATCAACACCCAACTCCTGATTCAGTTCTCCTACCTCAAAAAAAAAAATATGTGTGTTCTGTTTATTTAAAACATATTCCCTCTCAAGTCATCACAGCAGCATGTGGCTACAATTACAATCAGTGAGAAATGTGCCTTATTGAAAAAATGCCAATATGTTATCTTTTCACAGCCATAACTCACAGGAGTTGTTCTATACAGTGGAGAAAGTATGGCTTAGCAGCTTTATAATATGCATTCTCTCTTAGCAACTGTAGAGATTTTCAAGAAAAGTGGATAAATACAATGGGGTCTGAAAATGTGGGATATGGGGCCTAATTTTTTTATTCCTTTTATGGATTGGGTAGAGATCCAAGGGTTTTTGTAATTCCAATAGGTGCAGCAGAAAATGGCTATATGGTGTGCCATTTTCTGTACCCCCAATTGGTCAACTGGCAGGAGCATTGATTGACTCATGATATTCCCTGCCTACTATCAATATTTTGAGGATAATGGAAATTAACATGAGCTCAATCATTAGTAATTTGTTTGTAGGGAATCAGGTTTGGCCCCAATGGGGAAAATGTAGTTAGACAAAGCTTTATAGCAGAGGTATACACTGTAACTGCAAGACCTGTGTACTTCAACTCCCAGAATTCCTCATGCTGGCTGGGGAATTCTGGGAGTTGAAGTCCACAAGTCTCAAAGTTTCCAAGGTTGGACTGCCCTTAATTTATAAACTCTGTTACATGGATTTATACAATCTGAACAGAAACCAGAGTATTATATGGATATGTAAGATTAATCCGAAAAGGATAAGACCAGTGCAGAGCAGCACAATTGGATTCACTAATTCCATTGGAGAATTAAACAAGTGAACAAATAATTATAACTGAAATCCAGAATGCCAGTACTCCTGTCCTTTTACTTAGGTATCAAGTTAACGTGCTTAGGTGCCAAGTTAATATGCATCATAAACACATTAAATACTGTAATAAATGAAAACTCTGTAACTTCCCATTAGCACAGCACTCCAGTGTAAGCAGCAATATTTGTAGAAGGGCAGCAAGAGCTGCCTCGCTTTCTTTCTTCGGTGCTCTTCTTTTGTCAATACAAGCCCTGAGAGCAAATAGCAGCCTTTGTGATTTCCTCCATTAGATGGCATGTTTTAAAAAAATGCACCCTTGTATCTCTGACATTTGAACAAGATCGGCAAACAGTAATACCCTCTCTCTCCATCTTGGGTATCTTTCATAAAGAGCTATTCCTGATTGCTGTTTCATAAGATGGGGAGTAGGAGAACTTTTATGGCAACCAGGCATGAAACCAAAACCATTTATCCTGGTTGCGCTTCCCAGAAATTTTGAGTTTGCCTAATTGTTCTATCCCAGCAGAAAACTACAGAGCAACTGCAGTATATATTCCCAAGTCGTGCAGTAATTTTCAAGTGATGTTGAGACTCCAACATGGCCTAAATTAGATTGGTTATTTGGGGTCTTCTGACCCATCCTCACAAATAGCTGTTTTTCTGCTTCCCTGTTCTATTGTGATGCTGAATTTCAAAATTATAATTGTAGTGAATGTAGAATTTAAATTAAGTTACTCCCGAGAAGCACCGTAAAAAGAATTAAGAATGACCAATTTACAACTCCGTTAATGCAAATAAGATTGAGATAGGCTGTGCTATACAAATACTGCTTGTGAACTCTAAAAACAATTTATTTGAAAGGCAGTATCTAAGGGTATTCATTAAACGCTAACAGCATGTAATATATTCTAATAAAGTGTTGCACATGTATTCCTTGTATTGGTTCAGACGGCACACCAAGAGAATAGTTGGAAAGTCTGGTTGGGTTTTCTACTGGCAGAGAAGCATCCCAACTATTCAGGCCCTTGTCTTCTTTTTAGGGAGAATCCCTCCCAAAGAGACATCAGGCAAGGATTTCCAAGAGTCCTGTACAATAAGACTTATATGGCAGCCAGAAAACAGACAGGGAAGTTCTCCAGAACTACCACCCAGGTCCAAGCTTTACATAAAGCTTGTACTTCTCAAGAACAAAGTGGGCTCACCAAACCTCTTAAAACCTCTTAAAACATAATCACTTAAAGAGAGGGGGGACTGTGTAACTATTTAAGAGGAAGTAACATATTTTGCTATCCTTTTTTTTTTCCTCTCCCATTCAATGGTGTCGGATTCTCACAGAGTGTCCAGACCGGTCTCTTCAGTTTTCTTAGCAAGGTTTTTCAGAAGTAATTTGTGATTGCCTTCTTCCTAGGGCTGAGAGAGAGAATAACTAGCACAAAGTCACTTAGCTGGCTTTGTGCCTAAGAGAGGACTAGAACTCATTGTCTTTGGGTTTCTAAGCTCATGTCTTAAACACTGCACCAAACTGATTCTGGTCTAAATACCAAAGGAACCAAAATGGTACGGTACCTCTTTGAAGCTCTATAGGGGGTGCAACAACAATACTGAATATCCAAATAAATAAATAACATACAGATGGAACAAATTAAGAAAGCACCCCAGAACAACTCATAGAGAAATGAGCCTAGTCAGAGACTACAGAATAATTAAATAAATGTGGATGAGATGGGAATGATGGAACAGAATGAAATGCTATGGAAATGAACATACAATACACACTCAATCCTCATTGTCCATGGGTTTTACATTCTTGAAAACCTGCCATAGAAATGGAAACTGAGATTATTGAAGTGTTGGCCCTAATGAGATCACATGACCTATTATTATAATGATGTAGAGACTTGTTAACGCAACAAACATGCAAGAACAAGAATGTGGTTTCCATTAGTGTAGCTTGTATTGAAGCTGCATAATAAGCCTCTTTTTTCCTGACTGGACATGGCTGTGCATAGATGCATGTAACCCATATTTAATAAAAAAATGGGCTACATACATGTTTATAGAAGCTTGTAAGCAAATCTGTGGAAGCTGAATGCATGGATAATGAAGACTGAGTATAGTTCTTTAGAAGGCTGAGCAACACACTCAGATTGCACCGTTTTGTGGCAGCGCTCCTTGCTTTCCTGTATTAAGAAAACAGAGTATCTAAAAGCCTTTTATCTGCTTCTGTTACAAAATATGCCAAAAATATACCAAAACTAGAAGGAACTAGTTATTTCTTTCTGCTTCACAGTTCAGTAAAAAATATTGTAGCAGCATTTAGCTGACTGATGGCCAAAGTACGCGATTCCAAAAACATATCTGGTAATAATGTAAGTAAAAATTAAACATTTTTAACAGTGTGAGGCGTTTTTGATTGTTGTTGGAATGAAAGCAGTCAGGGAGGAGAAATAGATCTAATAGATATACATACATAACCCTTGTAGGCCTTCCAGGGAAGCTGTTTCCTATTTATCATATATTTTAAAGAACAGCAGTGGTTACTCAAGGAAGGACATACACTGGAATCTCTGGAAGAAAGGGTATTTTGTTGTGTGTCTTAAACAAGGAATAAATTTTGTGGAATTCCCCACTTCTCTTTCTGAAGACTCAGATCAAGGGAATTTGTGTTGAATGTTTTTAGGGCAGCATCTATGAGAAAGAATTGTATATTCTCAGTAAATCCCAACACTGTTTTAGTTCTTTTGTTCAATACAAAACATACCTCAAGCATAAAATGTTTCTAACTCAATTGAAGGCATATCTACTTAAAAGATACATCTCAAGAACTTTTCCTTAAAGCAGCTTTTGTGAGCAAAGAATCAATTCATAAACAATTAAAAGTAACCATTTTTAAAATTCAGAAAGCAATTTAAAATCACAATGTAATAAAAATCTGGAAAATCACAGCTGGACTTTGAAGAAGCAAGATAAAATGAGTATTGATGGTTTTGAACTTTTCTTGAGAAGACTCCTGAGAATACCATGGACAGCCAAGGAAGCAAACAAATGGATCATTGAACAAAACAACCCAGAGTTTTATCTCAAAGCACTAATCATCAGGCTCAAATTATTCTACTTCACATACATTATGCAAAGACCTAGCTCTCTGGAGAAGGCTCTAATGCTGGAAAAAGTGGAAGAAAGGAGTATAACCAATAATAAGGTGGGATGGACTCAGTTTCAGCTATGATGGATTACTTAGTAGAAGACCTGAAGGACAAGATTAGGAACAGATGTTCTGGAGACAATCTAGGTGTATGCTCGCTTAACAATAAACACCAACTTGATAATGTACCAAAAAAATAATAATAACCCATAGCATATGTAGACATTGCTTACAAATTTTTGAGTGACAGACCTTCACCAATGTGAACAAACGTATCCACAACTCTAATGGTCCCTAGTAGGAGAAGTCAGGAGAAGGTAGGAAAGGGTTAGTTTATGGCATGCTGCATATGTACACTTGGCAGCACCATCACAGGAGCCTACCATTAACAATGACTGCACCCTATGTTTAAGGACGCCAGGCTGACAGAACTCTTTGGCCGAGTGGAATGCAGGCAGATGGAGAGCCACCCAAATGAGGATTCAAGCACTCTGGGAGGATCCAAGCCAGCCAAAATGGGGAGGAGTCTGCTCTGTCTGAACAATAGCCGAGGAAGACTGGCCCATGGAGTCAGCAAATGATCTGATTGGGAAGAAAAATGTTGAGCCATGCCTGGGACCACACAGAAGGATGGGCTGCACCCTATGTCTCCTTTGAAACCCCCTGGAGAAGCCCCTCCTTTTCCTCATGAAGAAAATAACACTAAGAAAATAACACTTGCACTAACTCTGATAGGGCAAGCTGTTGTATATAAAGAAAGAGTAAACCTCACTCGCTTCGAACACTAAAGATGTTACCTAGTTGGGTAATAAAATGCCAGTAGCCAAGCTACCATCTCAGAAGACACCAAGGACTCCACAATTCAATTCTGAACTACGTATCTTCTCTTCTGTTGGTAAAACTCTATCATATCATTGAGAATACTGGTTCTGTATCTGATCCAATCACAACTTCAGTCTTAGCCGTTCTTCGTAGGGTCAGCTCTTGAGGCATGTTTTTTTTAATTACGTTCCTATTTTATCTTGATTTGAACACACGGAAATTCAATTATAAACAAGCAATAAGAGTAATTATGTACAAATTATAAGGATAAATTTTTAAGCAGTTACATTTTAAAATCTAAAACAAAAATAAAAAAGTAAATATATTTTCTTCAAGTCAGAGGCTTCAGAACTTGTCCTTCCATTTCTTATCATGGTATACTTAAAAAAAGAAAAACTTGCAGAATTTTAGATTAGAGTAATCATGCAGCAATTAAGTTACTACTGAAATTAATGGAACTGCATTCAAAGTGATACTTAAATTCACCTAATGGCCTGCTTTTATCTGAATTACTAGAAACATAACAATTAAAAAACCTGGCAAAACAAGCTAAATTTAAAAAAATAACATTCACTATACAAAACAGAAGGAAGCAATCATTTGGTAGTGTTTAGAAGAGACACCCATTTGCAAATCCATCTATTCTAAAATAATTTCTTCACTGTTTCCAGTAAGTGTTTTTGTAAATTCATTCTTTGATCCATATAAATGTATACTATAAATCAAAATTAGCATGCAGTCCTCCTCAAAATAATATTAATTATGTAGAGGAAAGCATTTCTGAACAAAGAAGAGTGGAATAATAACTAACCAAGGTGAAATATATGTAGCCCCTTCTTGTTCCCAATATAGAGGAAAAAATAGTTTAACTCTTTCTTCCTTTTTTCTAACCAAATCACCCCCAGAAGCTATTTATATACAATAGTTCCAGGGAACAATTACCTCTGTCTCCAACAGCAGAATTTCAAACCAGACTATCTTTAACCTCAAAGATACACATACCACAGTCCTATGTAAATTCAACTTAGGTGCAATCAAACAAAAAGTGACAATGAAGATATAAGAATATTTTAAGGGTTTTGCAAACTTCAGCTTCAGGTATGTGTATAGTGGAAGGGATTCATATCAAGACCAAGATACAGGAGATAGGAAATAATCCCTTCCCTGTTCATGCTTTTCTCCATAAAAATTACTACTCGGTCACCTGACATTGCTTCTCCTTAGCAGAGCAATGAGTAGCAGGAGTGCTTTTATGTGGTATCTTGCACTGTCTGGATTGCAAACTTCATAATTTGCAATTTGAAAATTTCAGGTTTCAGTTAGATATGTTTCTAGAAGTGTCTTTTTTTTGTGAATAGGTCAGGTTTGGGTTTTAGAATTCTGATGAGCAAAGCCAATCTAAGATATTTAGGGAAAGGTGTTGAGAAGATTCCTCCATGTTAAATTTCTTGTTCATGCCCGTCAGTTTCAGGGAGAGAATTAAAGATGTGCTTAAATCATTCTTGCTGAAATCATCATGCCTCTTGATTGGATAAAATATGTGGCATATATTCAACAAATTCCTATGTGCCTGTAGTAACATATTGCTATAAGGCAAATATTTTGACAAGCTTTTCCATTAATCTAAGCTGTTGGTGATTATATTAGCACCTCTGCATTGCTTTTTTTTTTGGCCATAATATCAAAATGGCTTTTGAATATATATGGATTTTGTTTGATTGCTGTCATGCTGTGAGGCAAAATTCCAAATAGAGTTTTGTTTGGTTGTCATTGGTACATTTTTAATAGCCTGGGGGCTATTTTTTAAATTTGGTCAATTCCACATTGTTGATGGAATAGATATGGTTGTTTTTTTTATTATTCTAATCAGAAGTACCCAATTCTTCCAATGTAACAAAGAAATATGCTCCGAAAGAATTACTATTGTTTCAGTAGCATTCAATAGCACTCATTTCATACAGAGCCATTATTAGAGCGGTTTTAACATCAGGACAGCTTTATAGGAATTTATATGAAATGCCGCATTGCAAATTTATAGTCAATCTCTTGGAATAATTTAAAGCTTAGCCGAAATACTCTAAATATACAAATTTGTCTCAGGAACTAGCAAGATTTCATAGTAAAATGTAAAAAAGTGGTTCATCTAAAAATAATAATAAAATGAGCAGACAGGCTCATAAAAGAATTAATAAACTGTGAATAAAAGCAATACACCTTTCATATTATACTGAATTCACAATGTGGTATATATATATATATATATATATATATATATATATATATATATATATATATATATATATATATAATACTTCTCCAGTTTAGTTGTTTGTTTGTTTGTTCATTTTATATGCAATGAATGATAAAATCTTAAGAGGTTATAAAGCTTAAGCTTTAAGCTAAAGCTCACGATGTGATTTCCTAAAGTTGCTGTTTTATCTTTATGTACCCATTTATGGGATGTTATTCAGACCTACAACTAGTTAAGTCTGTAATTACAGCATTTACAGCCCAACAACAATGTGGAAAATAATTGAGGCAGGCAATCATCTGTTAAGCAGAGGCATTTCCTACATTGCCTAAGCAAGATCACACAGGGGTTTTGTGTCACGCATGTCAAAATAGGGAAGACCAGAGTCCTCACTTTTAAACAAACAAAAACCAAACATGCAGTGAGGGCAAAGGGCATTTCCAGGAAAAGATGAAATGCTGCAACTTGTAGTGCACCTGAAAACCCTGAGCGTGCCTTCATTTAGAAAAGTTTTCAGAAGACAAAGTTCTCCAAATGCTGGGCGGGAAAAGGTGGAAAAAAATACGAGTCGTTCGCAACTTACCTTTTCCAAACTGCACAGGCTGGCTGTAGAGAAATATTCACAGCGGTTGAAGTCAGCAAGGTTTCCTCTTCGCAGCTCTTGGGTCTTCAGCTTCAAATCGCCAGAGCCTCTTTCCTTACAATCCAGCCAAATGCCAATCCCAGCCTGCCGTCTCATTTATAGAATCTGGGCTCCTTTGTCTGGCGCGTGTCAGCACTAATGTGGCTGATCTTGGCAGCTTATTCCACATCTCCTGGGAGATCCTTTTCATGCTGCGATCTTCTTCCCTACTTACTCCCAAGTGGGAATAGATGGAACCAGCAGTGCAATGCTTTGTTCCAAAACACAAGGGTTCCTTCAGATCCAGGACACTTAGGAGAAAGCCTGGAAGCATGAGTTTAGCAAAAATCTAACACTCAGCAAATTCTGGCAGCTTTATGTCTGGGCCAGGCCAAGGTTGAATTTTGCTTTGGAATCTAGCAGGAAAGGTGTGTGTGTTTGTGTGCGTGGGGGGGGCTGTTCAGCTATGGATATGATGCATCAAACATCAAATCAACAGGCAGTGTCAAGTACTCCTCATTAAGTATCACAACAATTAGATTACAGATTTGGGGGAGAGAGCAGGATTGGAAGGTCTAGCTTTTACAAGAGAGGAAGCTGAGTGATCTTGTCCAAAATTAATATAACATCAATTAGATGCTTTATGAAAAGAAACCTTTTCACCATGGCTGCTCTTCCTTTTATGAAATAGACAACATTTTTGCATCTGATACCCGTGCAGACAGTAAAACATTTCATATCAATTGCAAGTATGTTTAAATGTCCAACTGAAAATGAAGGAGCTAGGGGAGAGATGATCTACTGGTCCACAGAAGTCCATGGGCAAAAAAATCTCAGGTTCAGAGCATTTCACATATGGAACAAGAGCAGTTCCCCTAATTTCAAAGCTGAATTGGAGGAGGCTGGTGGTTTATGGAGTCACCATAGGCTGTAAATATACAAATGACCACCAGAGAGCCAGAGGGTGGGGTGTCTCATATCTCTTTCTGCCATCTAGTGGTTATATGCCTCCATACCAATTGATGGTACAGTGTACCTACCATACCAATTGGTGATTTCCAGATGCATTGGTCTGGCAACTCCCAAAACTGCCCTTTGAACCTTTGGTTCAGTTGGAACAAGCCTCCTATTCTGATTTGTCCACCTATATAGTAGCTTCAGCTAGGCATTGTATCTCGTATCTTGAGGAAAAAGAAGGCCGAATTAATACGTTGCAGGAAAGTCCAAGTTTTGTGGAAGTGCAAAACATCTCTCTTTAAAAAGCTTAAGGATTGCACACACACACACACACACACACACACACATGCACACACACAAACACACACACACATACAAACACACACACACACACACACACACACACACACTATGGCAATTACGTGTGGAAGGTTGAGTAGGACTTGAACAGAACTAGTATCTTGTTATCTCTTCAAGGTAGTTTAGACAAGAAATACAATTATGAGTACTAACTCTATCATAAGGTTTCATCAACAGAATCTTGCAAAATTGAAAATATTTCTCCCCTCCTTTACTTTTATTTTCCAGAAAACTAGGAAAGGGTCTCCTCTGAAACACTTCCTATGCTCCCCAATCTTTTGGGGACTAATATATCTTTTACATGATGGTTGTCCAATCTGCAGCTCTTCCTCCTATCTCCCAAAATCAATTTCACATACCATTATAGTACATATTTTCGTTTAACTTTTATTATTACGTTATCTTGGAACGAATAATTGACCTGACAGGAATGCTAAGAAGCAGCCCTCTTGCAGGAAGACAAGAAAACAGGTCTGGTTATCAAATCCTATTCCATACTCTTTCACTCTTCTAATTTACCAAAGGAAGAATAGACCCAGACACACAGCAAAAATAGCCTTTGCTGAGCCCCTGAAAAATGTCCCAAAATTAACTGCTAAACTACAAACTGCTGGCTGGGTTCGCAACCTTGCCTTATATACAAATATATTCCTTTTCTGCCTCATGTTTTTATTCAGAATCTCCTCCAGGTTGTCTTATCATTGCTGATTTGTTTTTCTTAATTTTTTTCCCTTCAACTTGTCAACAGATGATGAACTATAAATTTCAGAACATTGTGAGATCTGTAAGACTAGCAAACCTAAGTTAGACAGTCTTCCCCAACCAGGCGCCCTCAAATTTTCTGAACCAAATCTCAGGATTTCTGTCCACAGTGGATAATAATAAAATCGGTGCTTCTCTCAAAAAATGACAAAAAAAAAAAGAAAAACCCTCTCCTCACCACCACCATTTCAAAAGTGCTAAAGAATCTCAAAAGTCCAGCAAATTAATGTAATCATTTCTAGTACTTGTGAATATTATTCTGTGAGATTATGCATCCTGAACAGGAATAAGGCATCAGTAACAATATACATACAATAAGTAATAAAATAAAATTGGAGGGGAAACAATTCTCACCTGCAAGGGAGTTTAAAGACATTAACCAATCTTTTTTCAGGAGTTAAACAATCTTTTTTAAAAAAAAAAAAAAAAAAATTAACATGGCCCAAGAATGTGAACACTTAAAATTTCAGTGGCTTGGAAAAACAGGCCACACATTCATGGGTTTGTGAGTTCCTCTCCTGAAGGACTAAACTGGAGGCTGTTCTTTTCTCATGGTAAATTAAAGCCACAGAGCTGCCTGCTGAAAGCTCTGTCAACCGCTTCATTTAGCACAAGTGTTATGTTAACTAAATCCCTCACTGCCCCATTTGGAAGAGGCCTTTGGCCTCACAGAAGTCTCATTTCCATGTAATTTACATTGGAAAGTTGCCCGAAGCGCCTGCCTTCACCTTCGCAACCTCCTCCAGGCCGTTATTTATCCCTTGCCTATAGCAGAGGGATATTCCGGCCAGTAGTCTCTAACGTTGGAGGGAATGTTCCTCTAGGACCCGTTTATATCTCTCAAGGTGCAGAAAACTCCCCCAAATAAATGCATCCATTCATCTGCTGCCCGTGTAACATTTGCTGAGGGAATGGATTTGTGTTGAATCAAAATGAAAACCATTAATCTCAAGCTAAAGCATTATACAGAATTTATTTTATGAATGGAAACATTCTGGTGGTAATCAGAGGTGCACTTGACACCAATTCAGTGATATTTATTGCATAGGGCCGTTGTTTGTCCCTCTTGTATTGGATTGCTCAATCCTTTAGTGGCCCTTCACAAGAGGTGTTTACAAAGGTGGCTAAGCGGGCTTCCAAGGAGGAAGTATCCAGTTTCCACGAACTGTAGGTAAACTTTGATTCCTAATGTCTTTTGAACCTCCCTCACCGCAATGTGCAGTATTAGGACAGTGCTAACCAACTTAAGCGCTAATGATGCAATGTCCTTGAAAAGACATTCAAAGCAGTGTCCTGGAAGTGCTAGATAAAAAATTACTTTCTGACAGCAATTGCTGAGATGCATTTGCTTTAAAGAAATGTTTGTGCCATGCACTAATATTTAGAGAGATAATAGAGAACACCTCAGCCTGTTCCCACAACACACTTCACTGGACCAGGAGAGGGGTTAATATGTTACAGGACAGTGACAGTGATGGTCAAAAATTCAGAAAATGCCTAACTTGACTCTGCTGACATGTCACCTCCCACTCCCCCTGGATTAAAAAGAAACAATTCATAAGAAAGAGTAATAAATTCAATTCAGTTCAATTATTTAAATTCATCATCAGATAAACAAACAAATAAATAAGTATATAATTGTGAATATTTTTCAAAATGCCTATCCGAGGCAGCTCTGGGTCACACAAAGTCTGGAAATTGAAGAATGCTCCTATGTGGCCTTGCAGCCTCCGAAAAGGGCAGGAAAGCACACCCTGTTTGGGGGTACTTTTGGGGGGTTCCAGAGGCCATGCAAGACTGCCTGGAGGACTGGTGTGTCACCATAAATGACATGGTATATCACCGGTGACGTGTGTCCTAGTTTGCCATCACTGTTATAGGAGGATATATGGAGCTCACTTGATCCCACAAAGTCCTAGGAGATTAAACATAACCCTAAACAGAGCCATTCACATGCAGGGTTAAACTAATTCTACCCAGTCAGTTATGTTGTTGGAACAAGCTAAGCAACAGTGAGCTTGGATAACTGGACTAACCCTCTAAGAAAAAAAAAAAAAGATCTGGAGAGAAAAAAAATAGTCGAAAAAACCAACAGTATTGGACAATAATATACACTTGATTAGAAAAAATGTTAGAGAAACTCATAGACTATAAACCTGAATTTTTTTTTATTAGGTATAATGCCAGAAAAACTTGATAAGCAAAGTACATTATTGATTCTACATGTGATAACAGTGGCAAGAATTATATTTTCACAATATTGGAAAAACGAAGAAGAAATACCACCAGAAGGAGAAATAATCAAAAAAATATTAGACTGTGCGGAAATGGACAGATTTATTTTAAGGTTGAAAGAAAAAGAAGAAACAGAATATTTTCAAACTTGGGACCTATTTTATCAATGGTTAGAGAAAAGATTTAGGGATCAGGAATTTAACTTGTATTAGTGAATAAGATACTCAGACAACGTGTTTTTGTTGAATAATTATTATTGAACTCTGTTTTTTAAAAAAATAACAAAACTTTAAAAAAAATAGTCGAAAAAACCAACTTTTTTGAAATTGTTGCCAAAGGTGGGCAACTCAGAAAACATTTCCCAAACATTGATTGACTGCAGCCTGTAAGTCCCGCCTACTGCCATCTGCTTCACTTCTGGAAAGGGACTAATGATGTCAACAAATGCCAGGCTATTTTCCTGATGTAAAGTTCCAGAGAATCTGACACATTTGCACAAATATGTAAGCAGGGACTTTATTCCCCAAATGGTTATTTTTAAGGCAGTTAATATGTTTTTGGGGAAAAAACTACTAAAGAGATTTGTGGGGGGTTAAGTGTGTTGTGGGAACAGGCTCACAAATACTGAATAACTTTTCATCTGAACTTATGCCTTCCTGTTGCGCAGCTATTTGTATGAAATAATTTATATCCTATTTTAGCACTCCAGTGGCTCATCCCAAATACCGTATTTTTATGTTTTTTAAAAACTTTTGTTTGAATTTGAATTTTTA